TAAGAATTTGGGAGGTGTTGTTTGACCTCTGAGCATGAAGGGAGATATATATAGGAGGGAAAACAGGATGGAGAAGGGGATGAAAAATGAAACAAAAAAGAAAATAATATATAGAATCAAAAGCAAATTAGAAGGGATATATCTTTTTCCTTTTTTTAGGAACCTAAAAACAAATGAAATTATTGGCTTCAATGGACAGCGACTTGGCAGAAATTTTTATGCTTCAGAGGACAATCTGAAAGAATACACACAAAAATATGAATATATCCATTGATGAGTGCATCTTATAATTTGTTCGTGAATGTATCCATCAAATTGCCAACATTTTTCTTTTTTGGGTTTTTTTATTGAAACTGGTTCCACAATTCACGTAAAATTTTCTCTTTTTTTTTGGGCTCCGAGGGGATTGGGGTGGATTAGAGAATTGATTGTTAGGATTATTAGGAAAAGAATTGTTCAAGAATGTGGAAACTGGATTAAGAGAACTGTGGAGATCGCTTAGAAGTTCAAAAATTTGTTCTCTCGAAACTGAATGTACTCCGTATCTCTAACTTCCAAAAAAAGACAAAAAATCTATAATCTAGTCGTGTGGAGCCGAGCTTTCCTCAAATTATATTTGTACACAAACCCTATAGTCAGCTCCGAAACTTGAGCTATGCTTTAAATGTTCTCATTCAACATGTGATTACAAAATTTACTCAAATCTTACTTTTACAAATGTAACCCCCCAAATCTAGATATCATATACTTAAAAGTATTTAATTTTCTCTTAAAATCATAAATGTCAAAATGATTTTATTTTTCTTTAATATAATAAACATGAATGACTTTTATTTATGAAAAGAATTTATAGAAAACTTTTATACTCATATAATATAAGACAATTAAATTAAAAATAATAATTTATTTCAAAACGATGTCACTATTTATATGTTTTAGTACTAATTCTATCTCACCACAACTAATAGTCTCGGATCATTTGGCCTTCGTCATCCGAAAAAGAAGAGGGATAACTTGGAATAAACTAATAGCCCAGTATGCAAATCTCAAGCACTTTATGCATGTTTATGATATGCATTTATTTACATAATTTTGCTTTTGAAAATATGCATCCCATTTTTCTTTTATCATTTATCTAAAAACATTAACATTGTCTGGTCAATTTTGTACGTTGTCTAGTCAATCAAAATGCAACTGACCATTATTATTTTGAATCCAATTCAATCTATCGGTAGTACCACAAGCTATTAACATTCAACATTATCATTAAATGAGTGCATGGGTCTCTCACGCCTCATTTTCACTCACACCTTTCTGAGCATAGTCATACGTTTCTTAAAAATTTGGGATACATATCTTTTCTAAAATATCCTTTTCACATTATGATTTAGAAAAGAAACTTTTCGGACATCTTCTCTTTATCGTTTTTAAGCCGTTTTCTGTTTTCAATTTTTCAAAACAGTGAAAACACGTTCTCTTTTATATTTTTGAAAACAAGTTAAAAATTGACAAAGAAAATCCAAAACGACAAATTTGTCGTTTTTTGTGTTTGCAGTTATAATCAAGCCAAAATTTTCAAAATGCGTTTTTTGTGTTTTCTATCACCGCCAACCACCACTGCGACCCAACCACCACTGCACCGCCGCGACCTACCACTGCACTGCTGCCGAAAACTTCACATACGGCGACACCCAAGGTCGTGCGACACCACGGAGCTGTTGAATTTGGGGACTAGCGAAAATTAGGAAAGTAAACTACGATTCCCAGGTCCATACCCTTGTCCTCTAGAACTCCATCTCCGTCCATCAAACCCATCATCTCTCCTCGATCTTTTATAAGCCATAAATGGAGGCGATCGTCTTGAAGGAGGCGAGTGCACAACACTGCCTCCACCTCCTTGTCGGTCTCAATAAGGTGGGGGGAAGAGGGCTAGGTCTCCTCCCACGCTTATGATAATCCCTCGCACATGGGGGCGGGGATCAGTTTCGGTCGTAGTGTTCACGTCGAGGCAGTCGATCAATGTCTCTGTCATTGCGTTCCTCCCGATAGTCATGTTCTCGATGGAGGGGGAGGCTGCGAATTCGCATTCAATTTGGCGTTAACAGCTGCAGTGACAATGGATTTTTCGTTGTTGCTGTGATCCCTACGGTGGTCGAGGTCCTCGACTGCAGCGTTCAATACTGCAACCATAGTTGGAGCGACGAGCGAACACGGTGATTTTCAGATTTGGGAATTCGGAGTTTACAGTAAAGCGGAAAAATTATAAGCAGCGAAGGTTGTCCATTTCTTTTATTTTTGAAAACAATTTTTCAAAATATCAAAAAAAAACACATTTTCAACATTCTCAAAATGAACACTCAAAATACAAAATTCAAAATTCAAAACATGAAGTTGAAACACAAATAGAGCAGCCTCTTCATTTCTTGAAACTTTACTTCATGTATGCTAATTGATGCATTGACATGTGTGAATATGATTGATATGCATTTATGAGACATACAACAATAATAGAATATATTGTTTATATAATAACAATTTATCTTATAACACATCTATACATTTAACATCATAACTTAAGTATCAACACAATGAGAAGTTTATTTAATTGAAAATTCAATCAATTTACTTTTAAAATAAGATGTATCCTAGCAGCATGCAAAATCAACGCGTCAAAAGTCTCGAAATCATCACTAATATTTATTAAGAAACTTCAATATACTCATCATATTTATTTAACTACTAAGATATTTTCTCAAATACTGAATTATAATCTTTTTTATTTTACTTCATGCACCCTATATATAACATATAAACACATCTAAGAATGTCACATCAATCGAATAGACCAAATATGTAATATAAATTCATATTTTTGCCATAAAAGATTCTTAAACACTTGATACATAAATAAAAAAATTCTAACTTTAAAAAGGGGAAGTAAAAATCAAATAATTTTCTCTTTATGAAAAAATTTAATATAGTCTATGAAGTTAATCAATACCTTTCTAACGGGTGATAAAGTACCAAATAAATTATATATGTAATTAAATGACTCAAAGTAGTTTTTCTTAATTTTCAAAGTGATCGATAAAAAATTTTCTCGTTGCTGAAATTTTTGTGCAACGTGGACGAATGGAATTTTATTTCAAAAACTAAAAGTTAATATAAAACAAAAGTTTTCAGAAAAATGATAGACGATCATGCACAAAGCTTTACAAGATTTTAAATCATTATTTGATGATTTGATCCACATTTTCTATTTTACAATTTGGGTTACATGTTTTGTCAGCATTGACAGAGTCTGATAAGGTAACTTAGAGAACACATATAAAATAATGAATAATGCTTTGTGTACAATTCATGGTTGACAAAGAATTTGACAATCCATGTTAATACAAATTTGAATGGGCGAAAAAGTGAGTANTTCGAATGGACGGGAAAGTGTGTGGTGTGTAAAAACTGGCAACTCAACCTTCAACACGTGGCACATTGTCAAATTTGATGTCAAAAAAATTGTATTTGTAGTATGGTTGTAAATTAATTTCTTGGAAAAACAACTTCATAACAATTCATATATAGTTCCTAAGATATAAAAGAACAAATATTACGAAATAAGTAATTTTAAAGAAATTAAAATATATTTAAAAATGTTGAAACTCAAATTTTCAAGTATGATTCCAATTATCAGTCCAAGTTTTTGATACATCATGCTTAAGATATATAGAAATATATTGATTAAAACTCCACCCCAATATTTTACTTTAGCATAATTTAAAAAATTCTTCAAAGTTGGCTTGCAAGGCAATAACATCAAATTTACGAAATGAATTGTAAGAATCAACAATAATTTACACCTTATACAACTAATGATGACATGCTTACACATATTAACAAGAGTATTGTAATATAAAATATACTAATAAATATTTGTGCTCCTCAAATCGTCCTTCACGATTCTTTTAATACAATTCAATTTTGTTTCAAATCCGAAGTTTCAATTATAAAATAGAATGAAGTCTGCACACCTCCTCAAGTGTGATTTAGCAGGAGATAAATCATCTTCAAGAAAGCTTTAAGATCATCCTTGTATTTTTAAAGTTTTTTTTTTGTTTATCAAATAAAATTACCTTTATTTCTCAAAATTATCACTCTCTATACTCTTGAGCCTTCCCCCGTCCCTGGCCTTCCTTTGGTATCAGAGCCATAAGAGTTTAGAGTAAGTTTACAATGTCAAACTATTTTAGATACCATGTCAAATGTGAAACTGGTGTTAGCATGGATGTGTATTGAAGTGTTGGTCAACCGTGTTGTCGGAGTAGGCTTTTAGGTGGTCCCGTTGTAGGCTTTGCGAAGCGTCAGTTTATCATGTAGCATTGTGTCTATAGTAGTAACTGTTCTCATCAAAACCAAAATGTTCGAACCAATCTGGAAACCATTTTGAAAATTTTGAAATACAATTTTGATTTAAAAAATAAACCAAGAGCATAATACTGGTCTAAAATAGAAAATATTAAATTAGACCTCTTGGTAGTCAAAATAATTGAAAAGCGGTTCGAATGAATTGTCTTTTAAGAGACGCATTCTCTTCTCCTTCTATGGGTTCTATCCCCAGTCTTTGTATGACAGTACCTTTTGAATTGAAATTTTCAAAAAATAAATATGATTTTTGTTTTGGGGATTAGGAGTATGCGTTATTATGGCTGATCTTGATTTTATAAGGATATGTTCATAATAAGCTCCTAATTTTTTGATATTTTTGAGCATGAAATGAAATATTTTGGAAAAATGTTTTGAAGACATTTTTCAAGAGAAAATTATCTATATATCCATGATGTCTCCATTTCAAGGATGGGTATATGAATGGATTTGATAAAATAATTAAATAATGGAGGGGGATTGACATCTGGTAATTTCCTATATCCTAATTGAAGAGCTTTCTTAAAATTTGAAGGTTTTTCTTCAGAGGGGTTTTTTACTCCGAGTATTTTGTAAAAATGGGGTTTTTGAAGTTAACGTGGTTTTTTGAGAAGTTGAAGCACTATGTTCTTAATATTTTGATCCTTGAAATGAATTTTGAATATAGTCTTCTATTGAAATAATGGGGATTGAAGACTTTTTCTTATTCTTCTTTTTTGAGGAAGAATAACCCATCTTACTTTTTTCTCTCTTTGTATTGCAGAAACTCTCTTGTGAAAAAAAATTGCAATAAATTTTGATGATCCTTGTATAAATAGGATTTCAAAATCAAAAAAAGATAAAATTGCTTGCCATCTTGCGAAAATTT